GGTGCTTCTTTCTTTTCAATCTAATAATGGTTCTAAATTCATTTCTCAAATTACTCAAACGCTTGCACAAGCCCTACAAATTACATGAAAGCTAAACATCCCTGTTGACCTCAATCTTCAGGAAAGGTTGAAAAAATGAATGGCATTTTGAAAAACATGCTCACCAGGTACTCACTCCAAACACATAAAGACTGGATTACACTTTTGCCTTTAGCCCTCCTAAAAATTTGAGCGCTCTCATGTAAACCTTTAAGCTCAGCCCCTTTAAACTCACGTATGGGAGACCACTCGCCCCTTCTGCTCCACCTCCACCAACCCCTCTTGTTTCCCCTCTTCTACATACCATCTGCCATTTCATTTAGGCATATGCTGACAATACCTGCCACAACCCATCGCCAACTCCTCTAATCCCTCCTTACAGTCAGGAGACCGGGTTATGGTAAAAAAATCCCAATCCTACCCTCAATTCCCCTTTTACACCTAAATGGAAGGGACTTTACCAGATCATCCTTACCACACGCACAGCAGCAAAACTCCAGGGACTCCCTAACTGGTTTCATTATACTTCTCTCAAGAAAACAGACTTCCCTTCACCACATACCCAAACAACCACATCTAAAACCCCTTCAGCCTTCTCTTGTATTTCCACAGGATCCACTTCCCTTCGCCTCACCCAAGTCCCAGAGGAAAAGGAGGAAAAATCCACATAAGCCACTTATGTCTCTTTCTCTCCCAAATTTTCATTGCTTCCTAAACAACCTTGTTATAGACCTTCAGTGGTATCCTTATGAAGCTCCCATTATACATCCTGACCAGCTCCTTACTGTTCTATGAGACCTGTGGCTTCAATGAACTTTCTAGGACTTTACTCCTATCCAAATAACTTTTTTTCTCTTTTTGCTTGTTTCTTTCAGTATAAATTCCCTAATCACGTGAACTTTACCAATACAACCACTCCTCACTGCTCTCAAACACAAATGCTCTCTAAACCCTACACAATCCCTTTTGCTTCAAGCTAACCCTTCCTTTGCTCCAGAATGCTGATGTGCTTGTCACTGTCTTCCTCAGCTTACACAGCCCTTCCTACACCCCTTCATGACCTTTTAACAGGAAACATAACTGCAATTTATAAACTCCAAAAAGGAGCTTCCTTTTTAAAAAAAGCTGACACCCCAGTTAGTGACTATCTCACTTCCAGGGCCAATCAGGCCAACAAATTATTTCAAACCTCCTGCAACTCCTTACAACGCCTCAAGTCCCAAGGCCCTCCCATTAAAAGGCCCATAACTAAATACACCCCCACTTCTACAGCAAGCCTCACTTTGCTTTTTAGCCTCTAAGGGAAATTTCCCTGTAGGATCCTTGACATCTAACCAATGCTACCTCACTATCATTGTTAAATACCCCCCTGACCATCAAACTAACCGGGTTAATTTCCAAGTATCACCTGAAGCAAACGGAGCATTTCTGCAACCGGCTCCTTTTATAGCCTCTCCCTCAGCCAATGTCTCTAGCCTAACTTGTGCTGCTCCTAGTGCCCACATTTTCCCATGGCTCAGTATGAATGGTGCAACATCCGATTGCATTAAATGTGTAAAAAATAACTCTTCCTATATCTCTATTATAGTGGGTATCTCCCCAGCTTCCTCCTTGTCTACCTGGAGTAATGAGCCACAGGAAAAAAAAACACCCCATCTTTAATTCACTTATTTTCTTTCCATATCTCCACCTGTATTTACAACAAAGGTTTATTCTTTTTGTGTGGCACCAACACATATCTTTGTCTCCCCACCAACTGGACTGGAATCTATACCCTAGTTTATCTTTTTCCCTCCACTGGACTAGTTCCTCCTAATCAATCTTTACCCATTCCATCTGTCCAATATATTAAAAAAAAAAAAAAAGAGGGCCATCCAAGTCATTCCTTTAATGGTCGCTTTAAGTATAACCTCTGGGCTTGGACTGCAAACAGGCAGATTGGCCACCTCCTTAACATACTTCAAAGCTCTGAATAGAACTACAGGATTTATTAAAAATATAGTCCAAAGCCTTATAAAAGTCTAAGACCAACTAGACTCCTTGGCTGGAGTAGTCCTCCAAAATAGAAGCAGATTAAATCTTATAGTAGCTAAAAAAGAGGGCCTCTGCCTCTCATTGGGTAAGAAATGTTGCTTCTATCTCAACCAATAGGGCCTAGTAAAAGATGCTGCTGAAAATCTTAAAGAGAGAGCTAAAAAGCTAAGGGAACACTAAAGCAATCAAATAGATTCTTGGTTTAGGAACAAAATCATAACATGGGTCATCTCATTCCTGGGCCCTCTCTTAATAATATGCCTAGAATTAATGTTCTTAACCTGCTTAATTCACCTTTTTCAAAAATTTTTAACTGACAGGATCATGGCCACCTCACAGACAATTACCCAAAAACATCCATGGATGGCATTACTCCTACAGTAAATCCATGACCAAAGAACCCTCCACACCATGCTCCCCAGCAGGAAGTAGCCAGAAAAAAAAACAGGCGACCCCTCATCCTTTTATAATTACAGGGACTGAATTGACAGAGCAAGAGCATCGCCATTTTGGACAAACACCACCATTTTAAGTTCCCCTGAATTAAAAAATCGCCTAAATCCAGCCCAAAAACATCAGCCTAATGGCTTATGTCAGTATAACCAGAAACATTTCAGCCCTAAGATAAATCACCCCCCTCCAGCCAAAAGCATGCCAACCCTGAGACAACCTCCCCTCCAACCAGAGACATTCCAACCCCACAATAAACCTTCCCTCACACAGAAATATTCCAAGGCTGCCATAAGCTCTCTCCTTCCTAAACTCTTAAATACCCTTAGTCTGTAAAAGAAAGCGCTCCTGACTGAAATCATCCAGAATCCGTTCTCAGGTTTATTCTCCAAAATAAACCTGTCTTTAACTGTTGAGCCACTTTTCATGTTTCTTTCCCCTTTCTTTAACTCTTACACCTTGGGGGTAGAGGAAGATGAAGCTCCCTTCCCTCATTCAGGGAGACCAGATTTTGGGGTGGAGGACATTGCCACACTTGTCTGTATGAAACACACTGCATGAAACCTCGTGTCTTCTAATTCACTCCATGCCACCGCTTTTGCCGTTTGCCCACTATTTTTGAATGCTTTCAACTGCTTAGCATCGAGTCACATCCGTGTGCCCCGCAAGGACCACACCTGCAGGGCCTCAGGGTGCGGGTGGAAGTACAGAAGGCAGGATCACAGGGAAGAGGACAGGGACCAGGAGGCGTGAAGGGCAGAGTCCCCCGCCCCAGGCAGGGTGAACAGAGGGTGGGCGGTGCCCCGTTGGGGCTCATGAGCCGCCAGATGGCAAAATGATCTCAGAATCCAGTCCTTACATGGGTTCAACTTTATTTAGAAGCAACTATGGCGCTTCTACCACACATTTTGAAGTGTTTGGTGAGCTAGAATCCCGGTAAGAGGAGGATTTTCAGCTTCTGTTTCCACCCAGCCCTAAAGAGGCTGCAGCACTATACGAGGCTGGGAGAGGGGACGCTGGCCCGGCAGGGGCAGAGCCCAGAGGAGCACGGGGTGGCCGCATGGACGGGAACACAGGAGGATGACTGTGTTCATTGCAGTCACTGGCCCCTTGCTCGCCCTGCGTGCTCACAGTGTGTCCGTGGCAGGCCTTGCTGGCTGGGTGGCCTTCGGAAGGAGGCATGAGGTGGTGTCCATGGGCCACCAGGAGCCTGTGGTGCCCGTCAGTTACCAGGGGACAGGGATCTGTGCATGTCCAGCTGTGGATACAACAGGGGCTCAAACTGAAGGACTCTGCGTGATGATGCGAACTCAGGAGTGGCCCTGGGCCAGTCTGTTTCCTCCTGATGCTGCACAAGGACTGAGGGTTTCCTCGGGGTTTCTCATGAATGGTCCTCACCTTCAGAAGGTTGTTAGAGGGATTTCCTGTGTTATCCAATGCTAACCTTGTCTTTCTGACTCCCTACAATCTTTCACCCATAGCCTCTTCCTCCCCTATCAGGGTACCTCTTCCCATAAGCCCATTTTCCAAGGATTCACTCCCTTCCAACAGCAGTAATTACATTTCCACCTCCAACAATCCCACTGGCATCAGAATCTAAATGGAAAATCTGGGCAGAGGTAGAATCCCCAGCAGGAGCCACCCTGCCTTTCCAAGTCTACATCATCTGGGTTCCAACCCCCATCCTCCTCCAGCGAGAAGCTTTTGTCCTCTCAAGATTCCAGTGAATTCGCCGAAGTTCAGATGCCTCTTCAGCCCTGGCTGTTCCAAGGTGGCCCCATAGTCAAGATTCCTTAAACCCTTGCACCTAAAATATTTGCCTTTCTTATCATGCTGGCTCCAGCCTCTGGTCCCAGGGGTGTGGACAGTTCTCTCTTACCTCTGGTTGATTTCCAGGAAGGCTAAGAACACTCTCTCCAGGTTATAATGCCGAGCATTTTGGTTCTCTCCAGCCCTGGGTCCCAATGTTGAGATCTACCTTAGTCCAGTTCAGGCTCTCCAATGGGCTTGAGAGAAGATTCAAAGTTTCTGGCTTTTCCCTCCAACCCTCCAACCCCCATGGCCCCAGCCATCTCAGCAAGGGGAAGGGGCAAACATGTAGTCTCCCCACAGCTCCCATGTAAACTATGCCCCCTCTTAGAGGGCAGAGCTCCCAAGGACAATTTTGGTTCATGGACTTTTTTTTTTTTTTTTTGCTGTCTATTGCACAAACAAGTGGACTTCCGGGAGCTGGCCCTGCTTGTTCCCTGGGTCCTCCTTCCCTGGTCCTGCAGGTCTTGCTGCTTGTCAGGCTTCTCCTCCAACCCTCTGCCACATTTCAGAAAAGCTGAGAACCTCTTGGAGTGAAAAAAGGGGGAAAACACAGTGCCTGTAGCCGAGCAGGAGATTAAAAAAATACTTTCACTTCTCTTTTCCCCATTTGGGCAGAAACCTGTGAGGGTGAGTCAGTCTGTCGGCCGACTTCCTGTTCTGGATCTGGGCAGCCACACTGCATGCAGGCTGGGCTGACGGGGGAGCTCATAAGCCAGGCTCTGAGACCCAGGCAGGGCCTAGGGTGGGAAGATGGCAGGTGGGGGCAGCGACCTGAGTACCAGGTGAGTCTTTATCTCTCTTCCTTTAACCTTTATCTCTGGCAGTATTGGAGCTTTCATGCATTTAGTTCAGTTTCTGTCTAAACCTTCACTTTAGTCCTGCTTTGCAAGAACATAGGTAGGTAGTGTAATATAATGAAATAAAAGAGAACGTAATGAGGAAATCAGATTTTTACAAGTGCAGCAGGACAACTGTTTGTGTGAGTCCAGCTTGCCGTAACACAGATGACTTGTCTTGTTTTGAAACTACTGCTCCACTGGCTGGGACATTCTGAACAGTCGTTTCAGTCATTTGTGAGTTATTATTTCCTCATGATCTCTGAACACTTTCACATCCCTCTGCCCTCTCTGCCTTCACATATGTCATGTCAAAGAAGGTAGTTTGGAAAATAGACACTCTAGGGTAAACAGCTGGCTTACTTTTAAACACTGGAAACTGTGGTTTCACCTGTCCTGGCAAGGGGCCTCAGTCAGCTTTGGGGCTATTTCCTTGACTGACTCAGGGTGTGAGTTCTGATACAATTGACCTGGATCCGAAAAAGGAAAAAGAAGAAAAAGGCCCAGGATGACAGAAACTAAATATTTTTTATTTTTACTTCAATTTCCTGTCCCAAGATGGGGGATGCCGCTGACCAGAAAAGATGTGAAAATCCTATCTTTTCTCTAGTAATGAGTTCATAAAAAACATTACTTAATCTTTTTTTTTTTTTTTTTAGACAGGGTCTCACTCTGTCACCCAGGCTGGAGTGCAGTGGCATAATCCTGGCTCACTGCAACCTCTGCCTCCTGGGTTCAAGCAATTTTAATCTTTTAAATTTTTTAATGCAAAAGAAATACATTACATTCTTGCTCATAAAATTTCAAACAGTGGAGGAGTATGTAAAGGAAAAAATCTCCTTCACCACTTACCTCACCTTGTAGCTTCCTTTCACAGTCCTGTGAAGAGTCTTGGGCATAGCTTTTCTTATATTTTTCGATGCATTTATGTGTATGAAGTATGTTTTTGTAAATACATAATTTGTGTTCTTGTTTTGTAACACATGGGATTACATTGCACATGTTATTCTGCATTTTGCATTTTTACTCATTTTAATGGTGGAAATCTTAGAGATCTTTCACCTTAATACATGCAGATCTATCTCATTCTTTTTACACATACTATTCCATAGAATTTACGTAGCATAATTTTTTAACCATTCTCCAATTGAAGGGCATTTATATTGTTTTAAATTGTTCACGTTTGTCAATAAGCTATAATAATGATTATATATTTCTTTTTTTTTTTTTTTTTGCACGTATACAAGTATCTATCTTGCGTCTAAAGCTTAAAAGGTGGAATTGTTGAAGCAAAGGGTGCTGTTGTCTACTTGTTTATAGATCCTGCCAAATTGTCTTTTTAGGAGGCTGAATGGAGTTGTTTCACGAGTAGCAAATGAGATGAACTATCTTCCTGCACACAGCCAAAGTTTGCAAAGGTGATAAAGAATTGCATTTTGTTTTAATTTGTATTTTCCTGGTAATGTGGAAAGCTGAACAGTTTTTCATGTTTCTTGGCCAATTAAATTTCCTCTTCTATCATTTTTTTTGTTTATTTTTTGCCGGTGTGATTCAGTTGAGGTGTTTGTCTTTTTTTCGTGATATGGGAGAGTTCACTAAATATTCTGCAAAGTATAAATATACTTTTCTTCTCCCTTACATTTGTATATGGTGACTTTTATCTTATTAACAGCTCAAAATTTCATGTATAAACATCTTATGACGTAGATTTTATGAAACAGATGCACCCTCATTTATAAATAGTGATGCGGAGACCTGCTGAGGCACTCTGTGAGCCATGTCAGTTTTCAAAGTCTTTCTTATGTTAAGGTGGCAGATTCGATTCTGCCTTTGTTCCAGGAAAAGTTCCTTCTCTAAAATCTCTGACATTTTCTTTTTCAATTTTTAGGCAAAATTATTCTTACATTGGGGCAACTTCAGTCTTCACAGCTTTTATATTCCCCCTGGTGCTTTCATCTTTTCAGTTTTTTACTTCGAGTTCATAATAGTTGTCTCAGACTTTTCCTCCATGACAATTATCTAGTGATATGGTTTGGCTCTGTGTCCCCACCAAAATCTCATCTTGAATTGTAATCAGAATTGTAAATTCCAGGTGCTGAGAGAGGGACCTGGTGGGAGGTGATTGGATCATGGGGGCAGTTTCTCCCATGCTGTTCTCATGACAGTGAGTGAATTCTACAAGATCTGATGGTTTTGTAAATGATAGTTTCCCCTGTGCTCTCTCTCTCTTGACGGCTTGTGAAGAAGATACTTGCTTCTCCTTCACCTTCCACCATGATTTTGAGTTTCCTGAGGCCTCCCCAGTCATGTGGAACTGTGTGCCAATTAAACCTCTTTCCTTTATAAATTACCCAGTCTGTGGTATTCCTTTAGAGCAGTGTGAAAAAGGACTATTCCATCTATATTTTAGTATATTTCTTGTTTCTTGTAATTTCCAACTTAAAAAAATTGATTGTGTTTATTTATGAGGAGGGATCTTAATTTGTTTCTATAGCTCTGCAAGCTCCCCTGTATTCCACATTTTGTTAATTTCTCATTCAATCTTCATGGTTTTGCTTTATTTAGGTTTTTGTGCACTGTTAAGAACTTTGGGATATTCTTATTAGCATCTTTGAGATATTCTTCCAGACTGATTCTATCTGATCTTGTGTTCCATGTGCCTGCTGTGGCTTTACAGCGCCTCTGGGCAGGCTTGACCAGAGCAGCTCACCCTAAATATTCCATTTGCTCAGTCATAATCTGGGAGAGTCACTTTTTTTTTTTTTCAGGGTTCCTATTTTGTCTGAGACCAAATTGTTTTTGTCTAAGCTGCAGTTTGAAGACTCTGTTTATATTCTTATCAATTTTTCTGATGACACCATTAATTATATTATCCTTTTCCCCACTTACTGTGAACCAAGTGGCCATAGAGGCAAGGTGTGTTTCTGTGTTCTCTTTTCTCTGCCCCTGGCCTGTGAGAGCCTCTCCTTATGCCAGTACCAACCACACTGCCATAGCGATGGAGGCTTCCCAGGAACTCTTGACATCTGACAGGGCAAAATCGCTTCCTCTTCCTCCAAAAGTCTTAAACTTTGGGTTCCCAAATTAGCCTGTCAAAATCTTGGCATTTTGTGTGGAATTGCACTGACTCTATAGATCAGTTCGAAGAGAGCCGACATATTTACAATATTATGGCTTCTGTTCTCATGAATATGGCTCAAGTATAAGATTAATTTAGAAATATTTTCTATTAAAATATATGTTTTCTCTTTGAAGGTTTTGTACTTCTGCTAGATATTTGATATCTTTATGCCATTATTAACTATAGTAGTCCTCCTTTATGCACGGTTGCACTTTCTGAGATTTCAGTTAGTCATAGTCGACCATGGTCCAAAAACATTAAATGGAAAATTCCAGAAATATCCAGAAATAAACAATTCATGAATTTTAAGTTACTTGCTGTTCTGAGTAGTGTGATGAAATCTCATGCTGTCCCTCTCCATCATGCCCAGGATGCAAACTATCCCTTTATCTAGCGTATCCACAATCCACAATGTGGACACCACCAGTCCATGAATCACTGAGTAGCCATCCTGGTAATTGGATCGGCTGTCATGGTATCACAGTGCTTGTGTTCAGAGAACTCTGATTTTAGTCAATAATGGCCCCAAAGCACATGAGGACTGATGCTGGCAATTCAGATATGCCAAAGAGAAGCTGTCAAGTGCTTCCTTTAAGTGAAAATGTGAAATTTCCTGAAAGAAAAAAAAAATCACATGCTAAGGTTGCTAATATCTACAGTACAATATTTTGAGAGAGAGAAAGAGACCACATTTACATAAATTTTATTACAGTATATTGTTATAGTTCTACTTTATTATTAAATATTATTTTTAATCTCTTATTGTGCCTCATTTATGTATAGATGGGGGAAAACATAGTATATACAGAGTTTGGTACTATCTGCAGTTTCAGGCATCCACTGGGGATCTTGGAAGCATCCCCTGTGGATAAAAGGGAATGAGGGTACTAAATTCTCTCTTACGTATACATTTGTATAGGTGACCCATGTTCTAATCCATGGTTATATTTTTTATTCTTGTTTTAATACTGAACTGTTTTAGTTGCTATGATTTTCTAGGTAGTGTTCTATAACCTGTCTTGCTGGGATCCAACTGAGAGACACTAAATGAATAGATAAATTTAACAAGAATTTACATTTTTAAAAATTCCCAATGATCCTAGCTAGAAACATGGTATATCTCTCCACTTATTTATTATTTTTTGAACTTGGGTCCTTATTGGGTCACTTTAGTGCTAGGCATTTTAAAATTGTATTTGTAATCAGGAACTCATTTTCCTTTTACATTTTCTAGTTATTTCTTACGGGCACAGGGGAAATCTATTTGTTTTAGTTTGATGACCTTGTGCAAGCAGACTTTCCAAGTGGTCTTCTCCCTCCTATTATTGTCTTGTATTTTCCGGTGAAATAATCACATCTTCAAAATAGCAGCTTTGTCTGCTCTTTTTCAGAATTTATGCCTGTATATTTTTCTTTTTCTTACTTTTTTTTCTTTCTTTTTTCCTTAGTATATTAGGCAGGATTGTCAGTTTAATACTGAATGGTAACACAAAAATGAGCATTCTAGTTTTGTTCCAGTGCTCGAGGAACACTTACAATGTTTAACTTGAGACTTTCTGACAGATGCCTTTTATCAAGTTAAGCACATTATCTGCTCTGGTTTACTAAAGTTATTTTTTTTCCATCAAGACCATGTATAGGATATTTATCAAAATGCTTGCCAAAGAATCTTTGAGGCAATCATATCATTTTACTTCTATTAATTTTGATAATTTTTCCAAAGTAAAGCATGCATAAAGAGATTAAAATATCAAACAGTCAACAAGACCTTAAAAAACAGAAGTAGCTCTTTTGGCCATCTTCCCCAGTCTGTGTTCAGTTTCCCAGATGGATTATTTTTAACCTTTTAGCTCTTCCTTCTGTACTTATTTCTGTAGTTTGAAATGACATGCGGATACAGCTCTTTGTAATTTTTCAAGTTCCAGTCATTAATCTGTTCACATAATAGGACAGAAGATGAAAATTTCTCCCCTGACACTCTTTTTCATTCTCCTGTTCACATAATAAAGCATAAGATGAAGACCTCCCCTGACACTCTTTTTCATTCCCCATCCATTCTCGTAATACATCACAGTTTGAGGTTCATCAGTAATCAGTGTTATCATTATGATAGTTATTTAAATGATGTTCATAACCAAGTCATACACTATGTTATGATCACATTTCCTTTCCTGTGCAACATCTTTCCCAAAAATAACTATTGCCCTCTTACATATTTGCTTGGATTTTGTGTGCCTTCATTATGAATTCTTCCCAGGCACCCTGCAGAATTCTAAAATTCTTCTCAAGACAGTGAGGCACATTGTGTAATTTATCAATTCCATTTTATTTTCTTGGGAGAGCCCTTCTGGAGCCACCCATTCTCCTGATCCAATTAGCTCTGGTTAGTTTCAGCTTCCAAGACTGACCTTCTGAAGCTTGACATCTCTCCTGTTTTATGGAAGCTTGACATCTCTCCTGACATCTCTCTTGTTTTATGGATTACATGTATCTTCTTTCTTGCTTTACTATCTCATTTTGGCTTACCACATTATCCAGTAGCCTCCTGACTAAGAGTTCATAGAAGGTATATATCTTAAGATCATTCATATCTGGAAAAAAAAA